TAGATTTATGAATAAACTAGAAAAGTCAGCGCTCATGATGTGAATTTTTAGCATTTCAATAAACGATGACAGGAAACACTGTTATTTACTAAATTTAAAAACATATTTATATTAAGAAGCTATTTACGAAGACTTAATATATTCTGAAAGATCATTTTAAAAACTACGCATGAAATACCACAAGTCACAATGACATATCTCGATGACTATCTTTCGATGGATAATAGCATTAGAATTGTTACATGAACATAGCTAAGGTTTTGATATCTAATATACATAAGATAACTCTTTACAACCGCAGAAAAAATATTCCTCGTGGCAAACATGAAAATAAGCCCGAGTTTTATTTCACTTCAATGCAATGCTTTACTGTAATAAGTAAAATATGCTTCAGAGTAGAATAAGGAGATAACTTTATAGTCCCTGCGATCACCACCGAAGTAACCAGACACGTGATAAGCCGCTGACCTACCTTTGTTTTACCTTTGACCCTCGCATCTGTTATAAAGTTGCGAGGAATATGTTAATCTCGACAATCTGCGTCATCCGGAAAGCGTATAACATTAATTACACGATTCCTATCTACCACGCAGTTCAGGATAGGGTTATAGAGAAGACTTTAGAGAATTTACTTCAGAGACCGAAATCACGAGTAGAGCAATAAGCTTCCCTATCCCATTTGGCTTTCTGTACAACATTCTACGAAGGTACCCCTGTAAAGCGATAGTTCCTCCCAGAATATAGGAATAAAGAGAAATCCCTTGTGAGAAAATATACTTTGGAGACCAGTATTAGTCTAAAAACAGCATGGTAAATGTGAGTACACTATAAGAACTATTTTATAAAAATGTCTCTTCATAACTGATTTGGTTGGAAGACAGAATATCCCTTTGTAAAATATATATACTTTCAATTTTCTCAGTTGTGTAGGGCTGTTTGTTTATGACCAAGTTACTAAAGCTGTCTGACGCCGTCCCTAATTTTGAACTGTCGACCATAGTGAAAGTACCCCACCAGCAACACCCATCGTCAACTCTTGGGGTACTCTTTACCAACGAATATGGAATTGGCCGTCATAGTATAACATGACGCCTTCAGGGCTAAAAGGTGTGAGCATAGTAGGCGTCAGGTTTCGATCCCACGACCTGCAGATTGCGAATCGAGCGCCCTAACCACCCAGCCATCCCAAACTAGTTGTGCAACGATTTTTTCGATAAACTGTGAACTCAGTACCTGACTTCCAGTATTTCAAAGCACTGTTAGTCTAAACCACACCAATTCATTTTTTACAGGGTGAAGTTTTTCCAACTGGTTTAAAATATATCATTTTCAAAAAAAAATACATTTTCATGGTAGTATTTATGGAAATAAATTACAACTGTTCTTTTTTTTTATTTCCATTAAAAAAGATATCATCATTTATTTATACGCTCAAAAACAAAGCAGAGGTCAGCTGTGTGAGCAAAAACCCCTTTTTCACATTTGGATGAAAAACACAACTGGCCTGATCTTTATTAATACAATTCGTCTATACTCTAGGATAAGATAATCCGATCAGTCTTAATTGGCTAGACATGGCCTAGTGGTTAGAGTGCCCAGGCTGGGATTCCGAGGGTTCTTGGTACGCGGACGATTATAGCAAAAAATGCGACCCGCACTTTTAAACTGTGAATGCGCTATAAGAGTGACAATCAAATCCCATTATTCCATCAGATAAGAGTAGCCGAAGAATTCGCGGTGGGTGTTATTGAGGAGCTGTCTTCCTGCTAGTTTGTGACTTCAATATTCTAAAAAGCAGACTAACAGTTTTGGGTATATCTTTTGAACGATTTTACAAACTATCTGTTTAATATAAAATATATTAACGTCATAACTACTATTAATATACGCACATATTTAGATTAATTTCCTTCTGTACCTGAACGGTGGTGTATTGCAATGTTGTTGTTGTTTTTAAATATAATCTAACATATGATTAGAAAATAAGTAAAGTTACATTGCAAGTATGAAAAGCAAATTCCATCTAGATTATATTATCTTTCATACTATCACTAGTTCTCAGTCTCAGTCTCTGTAAATTAACATAAATTCAAACTTTATACACTTTATGCTATTTAATTTTTTCCATAGGTTTGGTTGGTATTTTCGCTATCCTTTTATGTGCTTATAAGAGCAGAACACCATGTAGAAAACAGGAAACAATCTCTAAAATCACAACAAATTAGACAACAACCAGGAAGTCCTGCAGGAGACTGGTGGCAGGTATGGTGGCGTAATTACATCAAAGAAGTTACAGATCCCACAGCAAGGCCTCATATTCATACAACTCTACCAGTTTCATTGACAGTACCAACTACACCAGTACTTCCAATTACGAGATCTCATCCACAGTCTGTTCCAAAGCGAAAACTTCCATCCTCAACAAGAGCCCCTCCAATACAAAAAATACCTCCTTATCCTCCTGTAAGAAGACCACCATCAGTAACGAGACGTCCTATCAAACGTCCACCACCACCTCCTGTTACCAGACCAACACCTATAACAAAGTCTCCTTATCCTCCTGTAATAAGATCTCCACCAGTAACAAGACGTCCTATCAAGCGCCCACCACCATCTCCTGTTACTAGATCTACACCTTCGCCTATAACAAGGCCTCCGACAGTAACGAGACGTCCAGTCAAACGTCCACCACTAACTCCTGTTACTAGGCCTATAACAAGGCCTCCTCGTCCTCCTGTAATAAGGCCTCCACCAGTAACGAGACGTCCAATCAAACGTCCTCCACAATCGCCTGTTACTAGACCTATACCTATAACAAGGCCACCTCGTCCTCCTATAATAAGGCCACCACCAGTAACGAGACGTCCAATCAAACGTCCTCCACAATCGCCTGTTACTAGACCTATACCTATAACAAGGCCACCTCGTCCTCCTATAATAAGGCCACCACCAGTAACAAGACGTCCTATCAAGCGCCCACCACCATCTCCTGTTACCAGACCTACACCTATAACAAGACCTCCTCGTCCTCCTGTAATAAGGCCTCCACCAGTAGCGAGACGTCCAATCAAACGTCCACCACCATCTCCTGTTACTAGACCTACACCTTCACCTG